AAAAGACGTTGGACTCTTACAAACACATCCCTCCTCTGCGAAGTTCGTGATCTAAACTGGCTTAGGGAATGCGAAGCTTTACCAACGGCCGACCGCCTTGAGGCGTGGCGCCCTCCGCCACATGTCCGCAATGCGGCCGCGTCGAAACGCTGAACCATGTCTTTCATGAATGTATAGTAGCACGCACCTTTTGGCGCATGGTTACCAATATGTTCCAAATAAGTATGCAGTGGAAGTCCCGCCACAGAAATAACTTTGTCGAACTCCTAATGGCTATCGGAGCCTTCGTTTTATGGAAGCGGAGGAGACTGGTCCACCTTAGGGGACGCCCTCAGAGAGCCATGTTTCCTCAGCTACGGTTAAGAAACGTAATGCTTGTGCATCTCAGTGAAGAACATGCTGGGAGAGGAGGCCTTCCTCCGACGGTGGTCTACGCGATTCATTATTGTAAAAAATAACAGAGTGTCCAAGCCTTTCCTCCCCTACTGAGGAGGTGGCCAGAGCTTGTACCACTGTGAAATTGCTGTGCGTATTTTCCTCTTCTTCAGAAACATGTCTTTTTTTTGTGCAATATTGTTCTTTAGCACGAGAGCAAATTGTCCTCACAGGTGAATGCAAAAACGTCACCTTGCACCGTGAATGACCCCCCCCCCCCCTCCTTGTTTGTGCATATAGCCTACTGTTTATATAAGTTTACTCATCTCGATGTCCATGAATGTTCTGTCCTTCTACATTTTTTGCAGTGTACATCACTGCATACACAAATAAGTTATTTTCGCTGTATATAACAGCTTGCACTGTACATACACATGATCATCATTGTCCATTTTTCTGTGTGCACATAAGCTATGTAAAACATATCTGGAAATAAAATTCTCTTAAACAGAGGGCGCCATCAGCAGTGAATTGCTGCCGGTTCATCTTACAGGACGGCTTTCAGCTCTCCCATTGTAGATTACCAAGTACTCTAAATTGTTAATTACTTTTTCTAAGCACAACCACAAATAGACAAATATACAGACAGGCAGACGGACCAAAAATTTTGCGTCGAATGTCGTCAAGAAATACTATCGTCTTTAAAAAACACGCGGTAGAGCTAAGGTTCAGAGATTGATAATGATTTTTTCTGGATAGCTTCAGTTACCTGTCAGGTACGACTTCACCAAACCGACGCTTTTTTAAAGATGATAGTCTTTCTTAGGGACCTTCGACGCAAAAAATTTTGGTCTGTCTGTTTAGAAAAGGTCGTTAACGATTTAGAGTACTTGGTACTACACCATGGGAGAGCTTAAAGCCGTCCCGAGATAGCTTATCTGTGTTCAGAAAAAAATGTTTAACGAATTCGAGTACTTCGTACTCAACTAAGGGAGAGCACTGAGCCATCCCGCAATATAGACGTGAGTTCCCCTATTTGTTCGTTTGAGATGGGTACTGTAAATAGCACCAGCCGATACATTAAACGGCCAACCCCATCCGCAGCGCCCACCAATGTTGTTCAAGCTTCAGCGTTCACACTTGAGCAATTGTCAATGGAAAAAGCAATAATTGCGCATATCTGAGGCACCATAACAACACGTCGATATTCTGTATGTGTGGCTTTTACTAGAAAAGGCGTACATAAGTGATTCTAAGGACCGTAGCGCTTATCACGTGGCGCTTACCATGCAACGCTTGCACGAAAAGGCGAGTGTTGCCAACGCTTTGCTAAGACGGCGCGGTGGTGGTACCTACCCGTCGCCTTGTGTTCTACAACTTATCACCCCTGAGACGGGCGCGCACTCCCATCTCAGGGCCGCGTGCTTGGTTCCCCCCCCCCCCAAAAAAAAAAAAAAAACTGCCAGATGGCGCTTATGTCTCGCGTGGGACGTTACTTGATTCACTCGTTCGCCTCCGCTGCACGCTCGAGGCACTCTAACGCAGCGCTTCCAGAATACCATTCACCGGTTTTCTTGCGCAGAACACCAAATAAATTATTTAATGGCGTCTCTCATAATCATATGGTGGTTTTGGGATATTAAACCCCACATATCAATCAAATAATTATTTGTTTGTTCACTCTCTCCATGCACAAGACTATCGTCTTTCGACGACATTTGCAGGTTAACTGCAGATACGGGGTCAATTTGTGTGTGTGTGTGTGTGTGTGCGTGCGCGCGAGATAGTCGTTTGCTACATTGTCCGTATGTCTTCTATTGAACGGAAAGGCTGACCAGCGCTAAAAACTCCAGTCGATTTGGATTTGGAGTTCAAATGAGTCTAGAACGATAAGATTGCTACCGTGATCGTATGCCCATCGCTCTCGTTATATCCGTAAAAGCAACGTCGCATGCTCTATTCCACACTTATACGCCAACTAAATAACGAGAGGACATTTTTTAGACAACGCAAGTGAACAGGTCAACTGTATTGATTTAGCACACTATTTATTTGCTGTTGTAAGCATACTGTAATAGGTGGTGTACCAAAACACGTTGGTCCTTCGTCTTCCGCCTCATATTATGTAGTAATACGTTGCCTTCGAGACAGGATTTTATTACTTTCAGTTCCGCACTGTGTTGCAGTGAACACCACCTTTTGTGTAAAAGAAAAAGAACAAAACAGCTTTATTCTCACTCAAACTAAATAGGAGGAATATCAAGTCCGGTTATATAATGTAGTCGTAAGTGAAGCGACGTAGAAGCTATCCTGAGAGAGCAAAAATATGCGCAACACACAGAAGGAGACAGACGAGGACGGGCGCGAACTACCGACTGGCTTTATTCAAGGAAGATCCACACCTTTATGTATTAACATCACATGCAGTGGCACCGCCGAGGAGTCACCTTGTAGACCACTTATTGACTTGCCTGCATTGTTAACCCCAATTTTGCTGTGCGAAAATTCTGGGCAAAAGTAGAGATAAAATGGCTCGCGAAACGCCAAGAACTTTTTTTTTTTTCATTAAAAAAGCCGGTGCACGAGTGTGTTAGTGAAATGTTCATTGCGCTGTGCAACGCCGCATTCCAAGTTGTTTCTAGTCAGTTTAAATTTTCTTAGTAGTTGTGGCGGTGCTCCAGAGGAGAACGCTGACATATAGAGGTGTGGATCTTCCTTGCAGAAAGCTGGTTTGTAGTTTGCGATCTTCACCGTCTGTCCCGTGGCTTTAGTACCTAGTACTCTCATTCGTTAACCACTTATTGAAATTTCATTGAAGGAAATGCTCAGAGCAAACACTTAGTAACTATATGATTGTCATAATAGTTTACAAGTACAATAGGAGAGTCGGTTTGTCGACATGTAGTTTCGATTGAAGCCTAACGCTTCTTTACGAACTAATAATATTATTGCTAGAACAGCGATCACGGGGAAGTTCGAACTATATGACGTTTTCGTAACGACTCTTCTCGTACGCATTCTTAAGGAATAATAAAAAAGCCGCTGCCCACGTAGTAAAAAGACAGGCGCTGCTATGAAAGCGTGATTGACGGCACCGCTGCCATCATAACCGACTTTTTGTTGCACGTTTCTTCAGCGGAGAGCCTTTCCTTAAAATGCGTGCTCGGTAGGCGAGGCGTTCTTTCTTCTTCGATGACGGCCACGAGTCACATTTGACACGTCGAGCGCGGGGGTGTGTTTCAAGCGGAAGCACATGCTCCAAAGCCATTCAAGTTTAGCAGCAGCGTTTACGCGCGTCTTGTCCTTCTGATGGTGTCGCCTGGTTTGCCGCTTGCCCGGTAAGATAACGGATTCAAAATACACGGGGTTTCCCCGCCATTGCAACCGACATTGCAACCGCTTATCGTAACGTCGGGTACAACAGGCAAAAAAGAGGCTTGGCGTCCTGCGCAGCTTCCGCTGTTCTGCTATTCGTTGTTCGTTTGTTGCCTGTCTGCGTGCGCGATTCGATTTTACTTGCTCTTGTTCTTTTCACTTCCCTCCTTTTTTGTATTTCTTTTTTCTTTCGTCTCGCGAAAAACGAGAAGCGTGGTGAGCGCGCCAAAATAACGATCGGCTACCACGTGAACACCGCCCGGAGCACACGAGGCGATCACATGTGCGGCGCGTGACGTCGACTCCAGCTCGACCAATGAGCGTCGTGCGCACGGGCGGCGTGGAGACGAGCCCCTCTACCGCCCTCCTCTAAGCGCAGCAGACGACGCGCCGGCGGCTCTTGCGCGCGTAGGGGACATAAAAAAACAAGTTACCCTCGGTCACAGCGTGGTTGCCGCCTTGCGTCTTTCTAGCGCGGCACCCGGTTCACATCATTTTGAACCGAACAAGGGTCACCCTCAACGAACTTAGAACTCAACGTGAGAAAACTGCTGTTACGCGCCTCTCTTAAAAAAAAAAAAAAAGCTATGAAATCGCAGCAGGGAAGCGAGCGAAAGAGCGCCCATCCGATCATTCGAATTCACAGACAGAAAATGAATGACGGTGAGGTCAACTGCGCAGTTTGAGCGCTCATCGTGCCTCGTAAACGTATGAACAGAACGCCAGTGTGGCGAGAGAAACAGGCGAAGGCTTTTGCGAGGGAAATGCCTTGCGTCGGGCAATGTAGGCTGTTGCGCAGCTCGCGAAAAAAATGGCAGTGCGCACCAACCCGGCGCACGCAGTGCCCGGATGTAGGCTGCAGAGTAGCAGACGATGCCGGTACATGCGCTTGTACACCGGGTGCAGCGCTGCGCACGCGCAGAGGGGCGGCTGACGTCACGGGACCTATAAATAGAGAGGGCCGCGCCTCCAGCGGATAACGTGTGCACTCTTCAAGATGCCGGCATCGAAGAACGCAGCCAAGTACACGTTCCTGCGGAGCGCGATGGTCGTTGCCCGGCCGGACAATGTGGAGGTAAGTGCACGGCGGTATTTCCTATTCTTCGGGTGTTTGGTAGTGGCGTTGTGGGGGCTTGCAGGCGTTTCCAGGAGAGCAGTTCGGCGAGCGAAAGAGAGCGTGTGTGCGAGAGTGGAGACCGTGTATATACGTGCGCCGTGCAGGCATTGATGCGTCTGCTCCGATGGCGCAGGTCAAGATCAAAATGGGCGCCGACACACCGCAAAAGGCGGACATTAACGCCAACGCGACGCCCCAGGATGGTTCTGATCCCTGGGCACTACCTGTCCTCGAGGACCAGGGGGTCAAGTGGTCAGGTAAACCCCACGCCGTGTGTGGCTCTTGGTACCTACCACTTCAGCGAAAAAAAAAAAAAAAGTGCGCCACTTGTGTCCCCCCTGTTTTGTGTAAAGGCTGTCTAGCCGATCGAGCCTCTTTCCGCCTTCCACGAGTCAACGCCGTCCTCGTACACGTTGTCCAAGTGTCCTCAACGTGGAAACTTCGACCGACATGGCGCCTTCCGATGGATTCCCATTCATTCGACGCCGGCGGCGACAGCAGCGGTGGTGCCGGCTTCTGCGCAGCGGTCTTCTTTGCACGGCGCCTGCGTTGTGTGGTGCAGACGACACTCTCGCCCCTTCAGACAGGCCGTCTTTTTTCCGTTCGTCTCTTCTTGTTTTATCTTTCTCACACTTAAGGTCCGTTATTTCTTTTTTTCTTTTTTCACTCTTTCTCCTCTGACGCCTTGTTTGGCGACCGGGGAGCGGGTTTTTTCAGCACTCACGTGAAGAATGCTGCCGAAAAAGCAGCGGGAAGAGGAACAAAAAAATAAAAAAATGGCGCCAGACACGTGATGAATCCTTACAGCAGCCAGCCGGCCTAACAATCGGAAGCTGGGGTCATTCTGCGTGCACGATCGTTTTTTTATTTTATTTCCAGTTCGCCGGTTTTTTTCGCTTCATCGGCGATGTTTTATGACCGCTATGCTATTTCTGTTCTTGTGCCTCGTACGTTTTCGCACCAGTATGCCCGCTTGTTAGCGAGAGGCATCTTTCGCTCATGTTGTTCTTTCTACAGCCGTTCATTCAGTTTTATTAGTTAGTACTAATAAGCATTTGAGTTTTTCACCCTTGAAATTTAGGCTTATTTCAAAACACTGTTAACTGGTGCACCATCCGCTTCTGACGTTAATCTATCGACTATGAATTATCTTTGTTTCAGCTCTTTCATTAATAATGCATTCCTGGTTACTATATACGACTGCTTTGCGCCTGGTGCTATCATGCTTCTTCAAGAAATACAATGGCATAACGTATTTATGCTTTACTGATAGCTACGATCGTGCCTACGCGCCGAGCCGTTCTATTTATGCCATTTACCCCCTTTCCCCCCATATGCTCGTAAAAGCTAGAACCTGGCGCCAATAACGCCGATATCTTCGTTTATTCGACATGCGGTCCACCCTGTTTCTCTAGCTTGCGCAATGTTTGTGCAATCTAAGTGATGTGCCGGCTTTTGTTCGTAGCCTGGTACTTGTCTGCTTATGTTGGCGCTCATTGTTTAAACTCGAGGTGCGTTGCTTGCGGTGCTATTTCAAAATACCGGGGCCGTACGTCATCACTCGCTGTGCCTGTCCATAAAATGAACGCTTTAGTTGATTGTTTTCTTTTTCAGTCTCCATTTATCGATTCCAACTCTGACACTGTTCCACTCTATTCAATAGGCTTGCGCGGTGTACAGGTTTAGCAAAATGCGTCTCGGCCAATTCGAACCTTCCGCAAGTTTGACGACGAACGTTACTTGAATGACGGTCGTTTAACTTTAGTCATTGCCTGGGAAGAATATCGTCAAGTCCAATGTTCTTCCGAACAATGTCCTTTGCTGGACGATTGCTTTGTTCGATGTTACAACTTTTGGCGAGTACCGGCATTTTTTAAATTTTGTTTGAGTGTTATTCTGAAATTCGTTTCCTGAATTATTTTAACATTGAAATCAACCGTCTTGTCTGTAATGGCTGGCAAAACACTAAAACTGCCTTAAAATAGTGACAGGACGCTGTGTGTGTGACGTTGCCATGTTTTTTAAGGCACTGGCGTGCAAAATTCATTTCTTTCTTTCCATGAAGCAGGCAGCTTTTCCACGCTAATACGTCGTCAACTCATGATGCGCACGCTATGTCTGTTCGGCTGCAACGCCGTCGCATGCATTCCTAGAGAACGCGCGAATCAAGTGTTTGTTTACCCTCTAACGATAGCATCGTGGTGCGTATAAGCTATTGCTGCATGTCGACATATTTGGCTCGTCTGATGACGTCGACTGGATGCATGTGGCCCCAAGCACGGCTTTTTGAAGCCGTCTATAGACGAAATCTCAGAAATCGTTGCTGAAGTTGGCAGCCTTTTCATAATCTTTGAATAATATACCTTTAAGTGAAAATTTTAAAAAAATGGCTGGTGCAAGCTTGCGATCAAGAAAAAAAAATTAATAAACAGATTGTGTATTGGGGCCGATGTATCAACAAGTGGAGTTGTCTTCTTCGAAGCTTAAAGTTCCAGCCTCGAGGAAAACTCCACTTGTCGGACCGAGCACACACCCCATTTTACGAGCTTCATCAGTTTAAGCGTGCAGTTGGAGTTCTCTAAAACTTTGCCGATTAGTGTCTGAACTTCCTAAACATTTACTGGAAAAAGCATTCTGCTTTACATCGAAACTTTGGACATGCATTAAGGTGAATGCTTCAACTTAAATTTACAAACATTCAGCTACTTGCGTGCGTCATGACTTTAGTTCATTTCTTAAGTGTGAATTTCGCAGATTCTCGGGTGGCATGGTCACGGGGAGCTTGGCTTTCTGCATACGCTGTCTTTCACACGGGCTGACAAAACATCGTCGCTTCGTGTCTCGGGTGGTGCGACAATGTCCGTTATATATTTTGTGCCCATGCATCACACGGGCGTATGTTAAATATTGTACTATGCGTGCGACGTCTCAATTCGTTGGCTATTACAGAAAACTGCGTTCGATACGGTGACAAAAAAATGTACTGCTTCATTCGCAGTTTTTTCTTTGTATTCTTATACGGATTCGTAACGTAGAATTTTCATTTCCGTGTTTAAACTTTAACACAGAGAGACCAGGTGCGTTTTAAACTAGTTTGCATGTGTAAAAACGTCAGCTAGGATGATGAACGAACGTAATTTTTTGCGCGTGACGTGCAAATCCGAGCATGACAAATTAAGTTAACCTTTTGCCATTTCTTTAATTTGTCTCGCGATCAGCTTGTTGATGTATGAATGCAGCTTTTCTTCATTTAGTTACTTAGATTGTTCAAGCAGCTGCAAGTGCTTGTAGCGTTAAGAAAAGAAATTTGTGTTAGACGTCATTCTTCTCTGAAATTGTATTATTCTCGGGAGGTAAAACATCAAAATGGTCTTTCAGTTCTTGTAAAAATAATTCTCGCGTTCATCTTTTCTACACAAATGTTTTCCGTACGTGACGGCGTATTGCAGCCAAACCCAGGCTGAATAAAGTTTAGAAGTTGGTGTTCCAGTCGTCTCATGTTTTTAAATTAAGGCGTGGGATTTTCAGTGCTTTTGTACGTACAATGCACAATGTTCGGCTTGCATTGTGTTTGTCAGGCAAAGGTTTCAATTAGTGACGCAACGAGTCGCTACCTTGCTCATTTCACTCTAGTTCTGTCTCTCTCGCGAGAAAAACGGCTGCCACAGAATTCGCTGAATTCGACATCGTCGGACATTTTGCGCATGCACAGTAATTTTATATGCGATTCGTTTCCGAGCGAACTTCTATCTATCCGCTTATGTTACGTTTGGGTGTGGCCACCCCCTGAACTTGGCATGAACCAAAATTTAGCATGGGACAGTAAGATGGTTTGACGAATATGACGCGCTGGTCAAGACATGAATAAATGAATGTCACAATCTCGTCGCGCACGTCAAACACTTCCCGCCAGATAGTGGCACATAACCACGGGCCGGTATGTGCCGCTGATATACGGGTATGTGCCACAGGTAATTGACACTACCCAGGAACGACGAGAACACACATTGGCAATTTTAACGCGCGAGTGTTAAACGATATTAGTGTCGATCGACCCGACGAATGCAAACAATAAATGTCAGGGTCCCAGCTGGAATCAAACCCAAACATTCTGTGTGGCAATGAAGCATTTTACCGCGGAGCTGCACCAGATCCCGGAACTACTTTTCAAATACTCTAATCTCCGGGAAACGTCAATAGTGGTTGCAGTTCTGCCTACTAAATTATATAAACATTACATATGTACTTCTTTGATACAGACGTCACATCGGGTTAACGTAAATTGGAGTTAGTTGACGTGCGCTGAAGTTGATTTATGTAGCAGTGTGCAGGGCCAGCATCTTCGCGAGCATCAGCGCCTCATATCAGCTTCGCATGTTCCAGTTGGCATTGTCGCGCAAGTGCAAACAACTGGTTATGTAAACGTCTGCAACTCTTCAACATTTGTGCATATATTTGGCGTCATTTCATGACGTGTCACTCGATAAAAAAATTGGCAACACGGTTAACTTTTCTGCGCATGCTTCGCATGGCGTCGATTCCCGAAACATGGGATCTGTCGAATTTTTTCTTACGAAATTTCTTAAGCAAGCGACGCTGTTCCTCACGGCGTGGTAAACAAGAAGCAGTGGTTCACTATTGACAATGCGCGATGCATCTAGAATAGTTGCATCCTTTGGGGCTCTCCTCTTTCGTTCTTTTTTTTTTTTTGCTGTAACAATATTCATCGGTCCTAATTAGGTTTACTTAGAGAGTTCGCTTGCAACTCCCGACCGCGGCCCCCGCAGGTCGCGGGTTTGAATCCCGGCTGCATTGGCTGCATTTCCGATGGAGGCGGAAATGTTGCAAGCCCGTGTGCTCAGATTAGGGTGCACGTTGAAGAACCCCAGGTGGTCTAAATTTCCGGAGCCCTCCACTACGGCGTCTCTCATAATCATATAGTGGTTTTGGGACGTTAAACCCCACATCAATCAACCAATCACGACCGCGGATGTCGCATTTCAGTGGAGGTGTAATGGTAGGAGCTCGTGTACATGTCGGTGCATGTTAAAAAAACACCAGACGGTCGAAATTATCGAAGCCATCCACTACGGCATTTTTCATGACCATATTGTGGTTTCGGGATGCAAAACCCCAGATAGTATTATTAATAATAAAATATGCTTTAAATGTTTCTATGGGGATTACTGATGGCGAGCACTTAGTTATATATCTATACGTGGAAGTACTGAGTATTCGATGTAACGGCTAGAAATCT